ATTTTTTTAAAAAAATCCTCCTTCTCCATGAAGGGAATGTAGAAGACTTTCCTGGTCCTTCAGGTTCCTCAGATGGCTCTCTCCCACCTCTAAACTCTGCCACTACCCCTACACATACTCTCACTTGACTGTGAACTCCAGATGAGAGCAGGTTGTGTTTGTCAAAGTGCACCCATAAAACACAGCACAACACCTGGCACACTATAGGTGCTCAATAAATTGACTGGGTTTAAGTCTAGGCACACCCCACTCAGGGGTACAGGGATGTGGTTCATCTCTCCAAGCGCTGTGGCCCGGCTTGGGCCTTCTCTGAACCCTGCCACATTCTAACCCCCTTTTGAGAGAAAGAACCCTTCCTGCCCAGGTCCTAGTGAGACATGCATCCCAAGACTCATTCCCTCCTCCCTCTCTCCCTGGACTCCAGCTGCTGCAGGCCCTCCAAGAAAGGAAAGGCCCTGAGCCAGGCTATTTTGGTATCTGGGGTGGGCACCCGCAGGGCTAAGGTTACCCTGGTATGTTAAGGGCTCCCTGGGGCAAGACTATATAACCCCAGAGAGACTGCGGCAAGCTTGCTCTCTGCCACTTTCCAGCCTTGCCCCCCGGGAACTGAAGACATGGTAAGAATCCCCCAGCCCCTGCCCAGATTCCTCAGACCTCAGAGCAGCCTCACCCTTTGAAAGAAGGTAGCTGGTTCCCAGTCCATCAAGAGGAAAAAAGATGAGTCCTTCTTTTCTTGGTATCACTAATGGGGTGCATAGGGTAACCCACTCAGACACTCCATTCACTGAAGCCCAATCCCTCTCAAAGCATGCTCCATACTGTCCTGCTCTCCATCTTCCTAAAACCCTCTGGGGCCAAGCTGGCAAGGATTCCCACTCCCATGTTTTTTTAAATCTTTATTGTTGAAAGTATTACAAATGTCCCCTTCTTCCCCCATTGATCCCTTCCACCCCCCCCACCCCCAACACACACACACACACACACACATACACACACACACACCTTCCCCACTCCCATTTTATAAATGAGAAAGTAGAGGTTCATACAGAATGAATGAGTGGATCAGGGTCACACAGGAAGTCTGGGACTCAGAGCGGGTAGGCTCAGGACACTAAGAAGAGGAAACTTCCACTTGGGTAGGATGGAGGGATGGGACTCAAGGGCTACAGATAGGAATTTGGGGACGCAGCTGAAACAAGCACGCACAGCAAAGCAGTCACAAAGAGGAGGAAGCCTAGAGCCAGATGAGTTGCTTTACAAGAATGGATGCAAAGAACCCGGAGTCTAATCCATTGCCTCCAGAGAATAGTAGGATCTGGCCCATGGATGTCTTTGCCCAACCCTCACCCCCCAGGCACCCAAGAAGGCCAAGAGAAGGGCAGCAGCAGAGGGTGGGAGCTCCAATGTCTTCTCAATGTTCGACCAGACTCAGATCCAGGAGTTCAAGGAGGTGAGTGAAGGGAAGGGAGACTGAAGGCTGACCAAAGGCACCCTGGCTGCCCTCCCCCGCCTGCCACCCCGGAATGTGCACCTGTTTTAGTGGGAGGGGAAGGGTTTAGAATTCCTTGCTCCCCTCCCTTCTTGGCACGAAAGAGGACAGCTGGCTGGGGGCCACGATCTGATCTGCCTGGAGTAAGGATGCTAAAGCCTGGCCACGGGGGACCTAACCCCTCCCTGCCCTTGCCCTCCACAGGCCTTCACAGTCATTGACCAAAACCGTGATGGCATTATTGACAAGGAAGACCTGCGGGACACCTTTGCAGCCATGGGTGAGCCCCCCACCCAATCCCCTTAAAGGTCCAAGGCTGTAGCATCCTGGGAATTCAGCAGCCTTGGGGGCCAGCCCTGCTGACCCACCTCAGTCTACCCAGATGAAAAATGGGGGGGATGATGTGAATTTATGAGAAGCATCACCCTCTGGTCCCAGGACCCCACTCCAGCCCATGCGTCCCCCCGCCCCATTCCAGGGCGCCTCAATGTGAAGAATGAGGAGCTAGATGAAATGATGAAGGAAGCCAGCGGCCCCATCAACTTCACCGTCTTCCTGACTATGTTTGGAGAGAAGCTCAAAGGTGAATGAAGCGTCCTGGGTCCCAGCTCCCCGCTGCCCCTTCCCAGATCTTTCAGAGACAGCCCCTTCAGGGACCCGTGTGTCCTCTTACTCCAGGTGCTGACCCCGAGGACGTGATCACTGGAGCCTTCAAGGTCCTGGACCCTGAAGGGAAGGGTGTTATCAAGAAGCAGTTGTAAGTGACCCCTCCAGCTGCTCAGCCACAGAAAGCCTCCTTAAGTCCCTGCCAAGGGTTAGGCGTTGCCAGGGATACGGGAGAAATGAAGGCTGTGATTAGGATTAAATTTGCACATCACATGTGGGGAGAAGGGCAAAAGCCTTTCGTGTTTGTGTTTGTGTGATCACTGGAAGGATCCAGAGTGACCCTGGTTTTCAGGAGAAACTGGAAATAGCAACAAGGATGAGGTGGGAGTGGGAAGAATTTACAAGGCCCCATCTCAACTCCCCTTTGTCACCTCTCTCCAGCTTGGAGGAGCTGCTTACCACCCAATGTGACCGCTTCTCCCAGGAAGAGGTGAGTGGGGTTGGGGCCTGGGAAAGGCATAGGGGTGGGGGACGGGCGCCCCAGGAACCCGCAGGAAACGCGATCTGGCCCTCTTTCCCCAGATCAAGAACATGTGGGCGGCCTTCCCGCCCGACGTGACCGGCATGGTAGACTACAAGAACATCTGCTACGTCATCACGCACGGCGACGCCAAGGACCAGGAGTAGAGGGCCCTTCGGGACAGCCTGACCCCCACCCCGGTCCTAATAAAATTGAGCTGTCTTTGTTTCTTACCCGCGGCCCCCCGCGTGTGATTGTGGGGGCGCCGGGGGAGAGTGGGCTGGAGTGCCGGACCCATGAATGAAGGCC